TCTGTTGTCGGAGGTAGCAAGGGTACCTATTGAATGAGGGTCAACACACGTTGTTGTCCCTGATACTGGCAAGTGGTAGTCAGAGTTCTGACTTGCTTATGCCTGCTTCATCAAACTGGTGTTGGTACTGTTAGTCTTAAAAAGCTGCAATGCCCACCTCATCTTTTGTAACCAGTTTTGCTTTCTTATTAGCAGACTGACCAGGCTTCATCAGTTATAGTAATCAGTGTCAATGACAATTCCTCTTTTTGCTCAGTCTTTTAGATCTTATGCATATCTGACTGCACTGGAAGTAGAATTGCCACTGACAGCCTGTATAAAGTATCATTGCCTAATGTATTCTGAAGCTGCGTTTATTTTAGGAGAATATTTCTTGTATACATACTCACTTTTGTGTGGCACCGGCATTATATATTGGATGTACTCAAATTGCAGAGCCTAGGGCCACATTTCGCAGGCTCACCACAGCCCTGGGCTGCAATTTCAGGGACACATCACAACAATCCCTTGTCCCCCCCACCCATGCACACCTCTGGCTGGGGCGCCCTCTGGCCTGGCCCCACTCCTTGCCCATGCCTGGCCTGCAGGAGTGGGGTGGGGGTTAGAAAAAGCATCCCTCCCCTTAGCCTTTCGTGAGCATGGGGGCAGGCCATTGTCACCTCACTGCTCCTTGGCCAAGCCCCAGTGCTCTTCTGCCCCAACCCAGCTCTGGTCCATCTACCCCTTCTGGCCCCAAATGGGCATGGGATGGATCAGCACCACCCTGCTGCTCCTGCCTCCACCTCCTTGGCCCAGCCCTGCTCCCCCAGGCCCAGCCCTGCTCCCCCCATCCCTGTGTCCCACCCTCTGTAGCACCCATTTACTTTGGGATGGGTCTGGCTGGGCCAGGCGGCTGTGGCTTTAAAAAAAAAAAAAAAAAAAAAAAAAGCAGGGCTGGGCCTGTCCCTGTCTCTGTCTCTGTCTGCGTCTGCGTCTGCCTGGACTGCCAGGCTGCTTGAGAGCCAGTATTGCCAGGTCTTAAATATGAACTTATTGTATTGGAAGTTCAAATGATCATATTTTCTAAAAAAACTATCATACAGTTGGGGGGGGGAGAATATGCAGATAAGCATGCAAATAGGTTGTTGTCTTTTTAAGTAACATCATTTTGCCTTATACTGTTGTCACATCCTGCGCCACACTACTTGACACTGCCCACTATGATGTTTTGTTTAACTTTCTCCAACTGGTTAAACTGAATTTAGCACTATGATTATTCTTCTCTCTTTGTTTTGCAGTTCAGGTCTGTGTATTGTAAATAGTTATGCAGTTACTTTATATTGCTCACTGTAAGCCTCCATTGAATGAGTGAGGACTGGGTCATCAAAGTCGAAGGGTTTTTTCTTTATTTTGAGGCAAGCAGTCATAAGAAAGCACAGACAGTGAGCCCAAAAGTCAGTTAAGGCTCTTTGATAGTGACTTGGGTTTTGCATATGCTGCACCAGTTAACTGCATCAAAAATATTGTCCATTTTTTACACTCTTAGTATTATTTATTGTACATTATACAAAGGTTGAAATTATGATATGATAATTATCATATACCTGGCAGTGCTGGTGAGGGCAGCCCTCTTGCCCAATCAGCATCCAGGCGTGGGGAGGCAGCAAATTGAAGGATATTTATACTGCTGCTTTTTGGTTTTTTTTCAAGTTTTCCAAGTTAGGCCTTAGGTCTGTTCCTGTAGAGTATTTACAGGTCTTCAGTATTCATAGCAATGTCAGGCCAGGCCTCCCTTGGTCTGCTATCTAGTACCATGTAAACCGGTACCACCTGTTCCATGGTCAAGTTGTCAGCGACTAAACCAGTGCCTCCACCTAGGCTCACCTGAGTGAGGAGGGTGTGTGGACACCCAGCAGGACTGAAAACAAGACCTGTCAGTGGGCAGATATGCTCCCTGTGAGCCAGTGGCCATTCATACTTGGAAAAGAGATGGACACCACCAGGTCACCATGCCTGAAGAATCACTAATGATGCAAAGCAACACAACTAGGGTTGTTACAGCATCTGAGGTGCCCCAATGGTTTCAGCGGCCTCAGGACTGACTTGACTTGAGTGTTCATAGAATTCTAGCTTTCCTGGAAGTTGCAGTGCTGTCCTAGGCTCCAGATCAGTAAAGCTCTTTTTGTGGAAACCAGTTCTCTGCAATGAACTGCCATGTTTCATACTGTCCTGTGGCAGTTCAACCTAATGACATCCATGTGCAAGATTGTACCTTTTGCTACTCTTAAGTTTGGCCAAGATCTGTTAACTAGCTAATTAAATGTGGCCTAGGTATAGTGGTAGAAATTCCTTCAAATATACTGTTCTCTCCAGCGGACAAACCAGCTACATGTCTGCCAGGAAATTTGGTTTCAACCACCAGTCCTTCAATATCTAAATACAGATTAATCTTGGAGATGCACCTGGATTCTCAAATCTAAGGCATGTGAACCTTAACCAAGTTTGGGTTAGGTAAGGAATTCAGCCATATACTTATCCTTGTTTTCTAATACATCTGAACTATCTGGGGGGATGCGAAGTACCACACTGAGTTCTGAGAGCTATTTCTTTTTAAGTAGCCTAGGACAAAACCGTTTTGTAAATTGGACTGTTTGCTCAGTTCATAACAAATCTAGGCAACAGGCTATAATCATTTCAGACTGTTCAGATAGGTGATGGATTGTGTTAAGTTTTCCAGTTCGTTAGGCAACCCCTCTCCTTTTCAAGTTAAGGGTGCACATGTTTGGGAACTCAGCCTCTGTAGCTTACCCCAGGTTCCTGGTCCTGGGATTTGCAGAGAATTTACATGGCATTTAGTGACTGGTTTGTGTCCTTGCCAGCCTGCTGATAGGGTTTACAGATTAGACATCCCCTTTGGGAGGGTTATCCTTCGGTTGATCAAAGTAGAACTTCTTTCTTCTTCCTCTTTTTTCTTTCTTCCTCTTTTTTCTTTCTCCCTTTCTTCTTGCCTCCTTGAAAGGCAATTGTTGGACACCTGCCTATAGATGGATCTGTGTAGACCTGTGATTCTTAACCAAGGTGTTATGGTAGACGGGATAAACCCAGAGATTCATGAGATTTCAAATAGTAATGCGTAGTGTCAAAAAATGCTAACCTGTTATAGTGTTTTCTGAGTTCTTTGCACTGGAAAATTGTTCTATTTTTCTGTAGTCAAAAAAGAAAAAGAAAGCTAAGAGCTGGCTTCTTAGTATAGGCAGATACTTGAAAGAGCTCTTTGACATGCTTTTGTCCACAGATCCCACAACTTGTCCTGTTTACGGACTTCATAGTGTACCCAATCAACAAGCATTCAAGCTATTGCTTCCCTGGAAAGAAATAAGTACAGGAATAATTCCTTGTTTTCTTGAAACTGGTTGGAAAAAGCGATCCCTCTGCACAAACAAAAAAAAATTACTTTGTCAGTGCCAAAATTGAAAAACTTTTGTCCAAAGCACAAATGTTTTCATTTTCTTGGGCTTATTTTTTTAAAAGGCCATGAGGACCCAGAGGTGGTGCTGGTGGCAGGGAGGAGCCTCAGGGCATCCCCTTTGCAGGCTCCAGGCCACTGCAGAGAGAAGGCCCCATTAGCAGTGAGGAGGAGTTGGCTGTGTCCACTGCCAGGTCCTACCCTGCCAGCTGCAGCTTCTGCCTGGTTGACACCCAGAGCTCGGCAGCAGCTCCAGCCCCTCTTCAGGGTAGAAGGGTGGCCTAGAGGCAGTGCTGGTGGTGGTGCAGGCCGTGGCTGAGCTGCCCCTGCCGAAGCTGTTGCACACCCATGCCAGCTCCCCACCTACAGCCCCATCCCACATATGGAGGTTTGGTGAGTTATTGTGACAGTCACGGGGTGGGGGGGCAGTGCTGACCTGACCTGTGACAGCTCCCCAAAACTCCCTATGTGGCCTGCTGGCCCATATAATTGCCCATCGCTAGCCTAGTGGTCTAAGCACAGACCCAGGAGCTAGGAGAAGTTCTGTTATCTGTGCCTCTGACTGACTGTCCATAACATTTTGCGCTTCTAAGCAGTTTATTCAGTAAGCTGGTATCAATACCATATTTTATATCCAATGAAACAGTCTCAGTGGCTATAATATTCTCAAGTTCATGCAAGAAGTCTAGAACCAGATTAAAATAGCAAGTTGTCAGGCAAGTGACAACCTCTTTCCTAGCTGTTGAAAGGAGGCAATAGAATTTACCATAAATGAAATAAAAATACAAATGCCTTGATGTCTGCTACTCCAGCCAGGTAGGTAAGCAATTAATTCTTTTTCTTAGATTTAGAAATTCAGGCCCGGAATAACCTGTTTTTCTGAATCTGTTTTCCTGTCTATAAAGTTAGGGAGTAGCTACATTGACCTATTAAACTAGTTTGCATAGTGCTGTCTACTTAAGTACTACTTACTGACACTAGTAAATGGTAAGGTTTGGAGCCCAACATGAAACTACTTTCTTAACCTGCCAAGTACTTTTGTATTTGTCACACACGTTAGAAAAACTGTAAATTTCCGAAAGGTCAAACTCTGGATTTCTCTATTTTTGTGCAATTCAAAATATTAAACTGGGTGATCTATTTTAGTACTGGTTTTAATTCTGTATTATAAGGATTAAATGAGTAGCCATTGTGAATAAGGACTCCAAATGTTTTTTCTTTTGCTACATTTTGTAATTTTAATGGCTTGAGGTGCAGAGAAAAATAACATAGTTCTTGTATCTTGAAGCACAGGAGTCTTTTTACTCCAAATCAAAGCATTTATTGTCTGTTAAGTTTTAATAATTTATCAACTTTTTTTCTTCGATTTTCTTCTTGTTATATGTTCAGCTAATTTCAAGGAACATACAAAATCTTCTGTTAACTTAATATTAACTTAATCTTTTTATACAAAGAACTTCCCCTCCTCCAAGAACTGTTGTACTTAATATGTGCTTGCAGTTATGTAAAGAAGCCTCTCTTAACTCACTCTCTCTCTCCACCTTCACTTTCGCAGGTATTAATGGACATGTTCCATCAAGATGTAGAAGATATAAGTGCACTAACTTTATCTGATGAGGAACCTTCCACCTCCGGGGAACAGACATATTATGATCTAGTAAAGTCATTCATGGCAGAAGTTCGACAGTTTATAAGGGAATTAAATCTCATTATTAAAGTTTTTCGAGAGCCTTTTATTTCCAACTCCAAATTGTTTTCAGCTCATGTAAGTATTATATTATGTTACAATTTTAAATGTAGGAAATCTTGGTTGCATTAGTCTAAGTGAGCTTCTCTGGGACTTTGACCCAAAATAGCATTTCCTATAAAATGAGAATGTTAACAGAAAGCCCACCCCAAACATCCCAGCCCCCCACCTCCACCCACCACATACCACTTTTTCAGCCAGAACAGTTTGTGATCAAAACCCACTAATTTAATCTTTTGGTGCTAATGTAGAGCAAGGGCTTGCAACTTTAAACGAAAAGGCTAAAAAAAGTGCATGGTGTGCATGTCTGTGTACTTAGCTGCATATATAGTATAGCAAATGGATTGTGGATAAGAACAGACAGGGAAAAGGCAGGAAGGAAGAGGCAACACAAACACTGCACAAACACAAACATTATGGTTTGTGGTGAAATAAATGTTGAAAGAGAAGGCCAACTATTCTTGATAGATCAGGGTAGGTGCAGCAACTGAAAATTAAAAGAATTTTTTTATTCAACCACCTGAAACAGAGAAACGTGGTTCACTAATTGTGTAACTCAGAGGTTCCCAACCCCAGGCCGTGAAGGGTTGGCTGCTGGACTGGAAGTGACAGGCATATTGCGGACTGGCAGCCGACCGGCTGCCGGTCTGCAGTATGCCAGTCACTTCCAGCCTGCAGTTTGCCGGTCCACGGTCTAAAAAGGTTGGGAACCACTGCTGTAAGTGACTCATGAGGCCTTCTAAGCAACTTAACCCTGGAGCCCCCCGACTCTGCATTTTTCAAATATGGGAGTAGGATAAAGAATATTTATCTCCTGTAAAGCACTTTAAAAACTGCTAGAAAATGCAGCATAACAACAAAGATTTAATGCTGAGACAATAGAAGATAACTCAAACTCTGCCTGTAGGTCTCAAATTGATTATTTGAGGAACAAGAAGGGGATCATCTTTTCCTCTTTGTTCAACATTGTGTAGATAAAAATAAAATGGCTTAATTAGCCAAATGTATTATTGGACAGCAATCTGTTCTCCAGATTCACTGTTTTCTGAAACATCAGACAGTGTCTGCTGTATGATTCTGAATAGTGTGGACTAGTACTCTGTCACAGTATGACAAACAGAATTTATCAGACAGTCCACATGCTTTCTAAACCATGAACCTTTGTTCCCTTTTGTAAGAGTCCTGAACAGTACAGAGAAATCCTGGGCCCTACTAAAATTGGTGGGGCCAGAACTTCATCCATAGTGCACAGAAGTTGCTATGTGTGCAAAAGAGTAAAAGCTGAAGAAACTGGGTTACTTAAGAGTAACAGAGTTGAAAGGTTTAGGATACGTCCTCAACAGGTTCACTATTCTTCTCTGTAAGGCACCAGTGGATCCAGAATACAAATTGAGAAATAGCACATTAGTTTGAGGTGGGGGTTAATACTGTGTCATATTGAATAAGGCAGGCTAACGTTTGGGTCAGTATTGTGATGTATGTGGAAGAACAGAGTCTTTTTCTTACACAGAATTTAAGTTACTTATCTGTAAGATGGGTGGTTCCCTCCACCAAGTCAACTCTTTACTGTTTCCCACAAATGTTGCCTTTTGATTTTTGTTTCAGTCGTATCTGTTTACTAACATATTTGTAATCTTGCTCTAATTGAGAAACAAATCAGTGTTCAAACTATTACTGAACAAGGAGCTTTATCTGCATGCTGTATATTTGATTTTCAGAGCCTTTTTTCACTTGCTGGTTCCATTGTTTTCTGTAGGATGTGGAAAATATATTTAGTCGTATATCAGATATTCATGAACTTAGTGTAAAGTTACTGGGCCTTCTTGAAGACACTGTAGAAATGACAGAGGAAGGTAGTCCCCATCCTTTAGTAGGCAGCTGCTTTGAAGACCTAGCAGAGGTAAGTAATCACATTTACTTTGATTATACTTTTTTTGTTAGAAACTACACCTTATGTAACTATATTTAGAATATATATTTTTTTAAAAGCAGACCTTTTGAAGCAGTTCAGTGCCTGTTTGTTCCAGCTGTCTTTACTGGCTATGTTCATCAGCTGTCTTTTACAGAGTGGTCCTCGCAGGGTAGATTTTTCCTAGATTTCAAGATGTTTTTACTCTGTCCTGAAATGGGGATTGGCAACTTTTTGGTACCATGGGCTGTGTCTTGCAACTCAGTCCCTTCTGTTGGCTGCAGACATCCACACCACTCAGTGATCAGCAGAGAAAAAAGATGGAAAAGGTAGTTGGACCCTGGGGATGCTCCCTCTGTTGCTTTGGCTGGAGTGTGCTGCTGATTCCCAGAGCTGCTGCAGGACAGATCCGATCTCTTTATGGGCCAGATCTGGCCTGTGGGCCATAGGTTGCCAATCCCTGCTTTAAGAGCTTTGTTCATTGGAGGCCGCTAAACATCCCCTCGTGCTTTCAGTCCCTGGGTCAGTCTAAGAGAGGTTGTGATGCTTAGCTGATAGGATTCCTTCTTATTGCCATTAAGAGCTAAAAGAAAAAAGTCTTACTAGAAATAAAGAGCAAATGCTTTAGATTTGGACAAGTGAAACTTGGTCTCCAGACATGAAGATGAAAATAAGGAATGTCTGAGGCTCTGCTTCATTTAAGACTTAAATGGAAGTTTAACTTTACAAACTGACAGATAATAATGTAGAAGTTAAACCTGTGCATAAGCATTTGCAGGATTGGAACCTAAACCTATGTTTTGTTTTGTTTTCCTACTAAAACAACATAGAAAAACAATCCTTATTTTTAGCAATAGCATGATGTTTTGGTACTAAATTTTTCTAAATTTTTTTTCTGGAATCCCTTTTAGGAACTAGCATTTGATCCATATGAATCATATGCACAAGATATACTGCGGCCTGGTTTCCATGATCATTTTCTAAGTCAGTTATCAAAGCCAGGAGCAGCGTTCTATTTACAGGTAAGTACTTTTAAAGTCCACCAGAAGATACTTTTTAAAAAATGTATCAGACTGTGTGTTACGGAACCACAACTATAGTTACAAGCTTAAAACTTCTTTTCTGTTTTGGTATTTTCGATTGTTTTTGTTTTTGTCCCCAGTCCATAGGGGAAGGCTTTAAGGAAGCAGTTCAGTATGTACTACCCAGGCTGCTGCTGGCCCCTGTTTACCACTGCCTTCACTATTTTGAACTTTTAAAGGTAAATATAAAGATTGTTTTTACTTGAACCTGAATAATAAAAAGTGCAATGAAACATGGATGATATGTCCTTTGAAAATACAGAACATTTTGTACAAGTACAGTCATAGTGTGTAGCAATTCATTTTGGGGGTTTTTCTTTGGTTTTTTAAAATACATTGAGTAACACTGGTGTCTTCACATTTTGAGAGATGCTTTTAAGTTGCTAGTAACTTTTTGCATGTACTTCTAGAGTGAAGCTAATGCTTGGTGAACAGTGTTAAATACAGTGAAAATCAATGAGAAAATGGCTTTTCTCAGACAGAAAATATCTGGGCCTACTGGAAGCTGAGATTTTATAAAGTAACTACAGTCTAGTTTCCAGATAATTTTACTGGAGCCCAGTTCTTTCCTTTTAATTTTTTTCTCTTTGGAGTTGCATCTGCATGTTTCCACTTGTGATATACCACTTGTGATGTATTTGTGTTCATCCCATGACTGGGAACGTGCAAAGTCCATACAGAAATAGTGGGGTGAGGGCATCACCTTCAGTTATCAAGTTTATTTTTTTTCTATGAATGTTTGGGCTATGAGCTGTAATTGACACACGGAGATAAACTTAGTGCAAAATAAATGTACCAATATGTTGGATTTAACAAGTATTACTCAATACAGTAATTGTTTTAAAAAGTAGAGTATCTTGCTTAATAAGGCCTACTTCCCCTCAAAAAAAAAAAAAGTCTTAGAGGAAACTCACAAGAGGAGAGGCAAATAATACATATGCATGAAAATATATGCATAGTGAAATTCAGGTTGGAATGTGAAAATCTTTTCTGGCTCTATATTTTAACAGAATCTGGCTGAGTTATGTTGGACTGCTGTTGGGCATCCATGCCTTGAAATCCCCTGTGTGCTCTGTTTCTGGAAACTGAACAGGTCCTGGGCCTGTCTTTGACCTTGAGTCTAGGTTTACTACTAGTTCTACAGCTGGATTCTGCACTGCAACTGCTAAGCTCCTGGATCCAGTCCAATTTCTCAGGCCCTTCTATAGTTTAAATACTCTCTTCCAGAACTTGTTATTAAAGGTGTGAGTTTTTTGGTGGTGTTTAACTCTTTCACTTTGTGACTCCTGAATCAGACCCCTAAATATGCAGATAAACTTTGCATAGCATGTTGTAATATAGTGTTGCTTTACTTAACATACAAGACATCACAGGTCGCTTAGGAAGTAGACTTCGGTGCGATGCTGCCCACCCTATACTTTGCGGATCTGAAGGGGAAATGGTCTGTGTTCATGCAGGGAGGGAGTAAGCAGCTTGTTTTCTGGAAGACTGATTTAAGGTCTGAGTCTCTGAGATAAGTACTCTGGCTAGAGAAGCCTGTTCATCTTTTCCTGTGTCCTGCACAACATTACTTATGTCTGTGTTCTTGCTGCAAGTGTTTTTTTTTGTTTGGGGTTTTTTTTTAAAGAGCTAGTACAGGGATGGGCAAATATTTTAGCTGGAGGGCTGCTTAATGAGTCTTGGTGAACTGTCAAGGGCTGCAAGGGTAACCCTGCCCCTTGACAGGTGCGCTGCCCCCTGGTTGCTGTCTTGGGACCAGAAGTCCTTCCCCTAATCCCTGACCTTTGCTACCCAAAGTCCCTCTGCTTGCCCTAGAAGTACTGCTGGGGGAGCGTGAAGGGGGCTGAGGTTTGACATCTTGGTACCAGAAAAAAAAGTCATATACTAAAAAGCAAACAACTACTGTAACATTTTAATTTTAATTCAAAAAATATTTTTGTCCCAATTTGTGTGTCTAAGTATATACAGACCCGGCCATATTTTGCCCGCCCCGTGCTAGTGTCTCTGTATTCTGCATATGATAACTTCTCACTCTTTTGATTCTTACCCCAGCTACATTACTGTGATAAGGTGTTGCACCCTGATAAGACACCCAGGCCAGAAGCGGTAGTGGTTTGTAACATTTTGCTGTGGTTTCTCATCTGGTATTGACTTGACCCAATCCTTGCAGTCTAGTGAATACTGTATGAAAGGGCATGTTCATGGTGTCATAGTTTGCTTAGTAATAACTTCATAATATCAATGAGATTAGACAGTTCCCCAAATCATTGGCTGGGAAACATTTTCTGTTAAAAGCTTGTTGTCAGATTATTTCAGTTTATAGTTTTGGTTATTCTTGAAAGTGTCATAATTTTATATTTTTTGTACAGCAAATTAATTATCCTGGGTCCTTATTATGTAACATCATTCTGTACAGTATTTTATATATCTTTTTAAGATCACTGGATCATTACTATAATGTGTAATATAGTTAATAATAAAGTCAAATAATCATAATTTAACTATTTGGTAACTGAATAAAAGGAGATACGGAGATGTCAAAGTGACATTCTGTTTAATGAATAAATATTTCTCTGCAAATAGATCTCAGGGCAGTTAAAAGAATCATTGCTGCCACTGTCACGAGGTACATTGCATTCTTTATTGAACATACTTGTTTTGCTTTTCAACATGCATCTGCCTATTTGATTTCTGTGTGATCTGAAATTGTTTAAATTTTCTTGTTACATTTGCTTTTTGTGTATACAGATTAAGAACGTGTTATTTATGCAGGATGATAGTAATAGCCTAAAGCGGAGCTTTCCAATTTGTTTGACGCTGTGGGCCAGATGGTCCATTTCCAGTGGGGTGGCAGCAGCTTGGCTTAGGCCCTAGGGAGTGAATACTGCTCCAGCTCATTCCTCATCCTCCTTTTACCTTGCTGCTGATTTTGAGTCACTAGTGGTGACCCAAGACCTTGAACTTGGTGGTGGGCATGGGGTGCAAGGACAAGCAGCAGCAGCACTTACCCTTTGGGTTCCTGAGCTGTGCCAGAGCAATTACTATGGCAGCTGTGCCAACAAGTTACTGCTGAAACACTGCAGGCTGCAGTGTGGCCTGTGGGCTAATAGTTGGACAGCCCTGGTCTACAGTATTAGACCACTTGAATTAGTTGTCATCAGGGATCCTGGTTTTCTCTGTTTAAAACTGCAAATTCTATGATTAAAAACGCACAAAATCTCTAATTAAAAAACCCCAAATCCATGATTAAAATGAAACGCCACTATATATAGATATCAATTGAACACAATATTCTGTTGATGTATTTACAATTTTAAAGTAGTTTGGAAGCCTACCAGTGCCTCTATCCCTATAATAAAATAAATTCTAAGTACCTATAAATTTTGGTATTTGATTTTTGGTTTTTTTTTATCATGGAAAATCAGAGCTCCGCCTGCCCCCTTCACTCACCAAGACACAGGTCCAGGCCTCTCAATCCTAAATCACAGCCCCCCCATCCCTGCTGGTGCCCTTCACTCTCTACTCCCAGCACCCCCCACCCCACCCTGCCCTGCCAGAGGGGGCCCCCAGCTGCCAGGGCTACAGGATCAGGGAATACAAATATTCTTTATTTTTAATTTAAGTTCTTTTCTTATGTATTGTAGAAAGCTCAGCATAAAGTACAATCTGTGGGAGACCATTGAGTTGACTAATCCATTAGTTTAGGATTTTTTTGCAGTTTTGTTCCGTGAGGCTGAAGCAGCAATAAAAAGTACTGGTTACAGGACATTTACAGTTGTTGTATTGGGAAAGTCAGTTTTTCAGCTGATCGCTTTTAAGTACTTATGTGGAATGAGTAAAACAGAATTAGCTTTTATTCTCTGAACCATGCTAACAAAAGTTGAGATTCAAAAACATTTTTTATCTGCATCGTTCTATTGAGCTGCCAAAAGAACCATTTACAACATTTGTAGATGTCTTTCTCAGATGGGAAAGAGGCATATTGTGTTGCCTGCTTTTTTTCTTTTTTGTAGGATAACTAGGAAACTTACCTGAAAATTCCCTTTGGCATAGTGGGAAGGTCTTTAACTATTTGTAGACCTTCTCTGTATGGTAGATGGGCAGGTATATTCTGAGGCCTGTTTGGGCACTAACACATACATTAAGTATGCAGGCTGTGTGTAGTTCGAGGTGTAGAAGTCTACCAGCGTTCTACTATAGAAAATACCCTTCTCTGAGAAAAGTCTTTCTAATCTACTAATAGTATAAACCTGAGTACCGTGACTTGTGGATTGATACACCAGACAATAATATAGGGCAGTTGCTGTCTTTTTCAAATGTCTTTAGTTGTTTCACTGGTGTTTGTTCAGTTGGATTGTCAGTGACATAATATTTCACAGTAACTTTAACCAGCTTCATTTGGTAACTCTCAAAAATCAGTGACTAGTCCCAGAGATCCAATATCAAAGCGTTTTTTTTATATATATTTAAATTGTATATTACCAGGACTCTCCAGTCTCTGCAGAGTTATAATTTCGTTTCCCGCCTATATGTTTGGGAAATATTTCAAGTAATTTATTATGTGCTCCTGGAATTATCATGAGTTGGTGAAATTCTGCTGTAGAATTACAAATCTTTACATCTGTTAACAAACGCACTGATGCAAATACTTTATACTAATCTAATATAATGCTGAGAGAGAGAGAGATCATGTGATTTGAACTAGTTAATTTACTGCATTATTGAAATAATTAATTAAATACTAGATGATATTTTAATAGGTGCTTAACAATTTATGTTCCATTTTTACATCTAAATTCTGTAGCTTTTTGTTTCTTAGTGTACACATTGGTAACTAAACTGTTCCCCAAATCATGAGTTTTATTACTGCTGTCTATCATTTTACGTTGAATTAATAGTTTTACTGTCTATTGCAAATTAAAAATATCATTACTTTGTTTTGTTTCTAGATGTCATTATATATTCAGAATGTTTATTAGTAAGTAAGGCAGTTACTGAAAAGATTATCTTGTGATGAAGTGATTTGCACTGTACAGTGAGAATTACATTATATCAGAGTTATGGAACTCCTGTGTAGACTTTTTTTTTTCCAGAGTTTTTCCCAAGAAATGAGCTAGGGTGGGCTATTCTTCAATACTTGAATTTCCATTTTCTGTTTTCTTTTACTGAGAAATCATTTTTATTTTTTGTTTGAATTCTAGTAACAGACAATGGTTTAGAAGCAGTACAGAGATTGGAAAAAAATACATAAAAATGAGTACTGCTTTTAGGCTGAAAAGTTATAAGTGGTGTTACAGTATATATTCATTGCTGCATTTTTTAAAGTTGACTGCAATTCCTTTGTCACCATGTTTGGCTTGAATGGGGATGGACTATATGACCTGGTGAGGTCCCTTCCAGCCCTACTTTGCTGTGAACGTCATAGTCCCTAATATTGCAGTCCACCAGGTATAGAAGCATTGTACTGCTTCATGGGAAAGCTGTCCCACAAATGTATGATTCAAGTTTGTGAAATCCGTTAGTAAAATGTTGGGCGCTCTCTCTTTTTTTAATGGTCACTGGATTCTTGGACCAGGCAAATTACAGGTATTTTATTAAATTGATAGTCATAGTAGCTTGGTCAGCCGTGACTAGTGTCTGGTCCTGCTTTTTATTTATAGTAGAAAGTTTATACGTCCTGATTTGTGCTCACTCCGTTTAGTCACTAGTGGGCACTGTACATCTACAAAAAATCAGTTGTATTCTCAGGAGTTTGGAAGTTACATTACAAAAATATATTCAGTGATAAACTGTTTTATTCCTCATGACCTTATATATTCCAAAATACAACCAAGTAACTATTTCCAGGTGTTCTCCTATATAAAGTTAATTCTGAGGAAGTTATAGCTGGGAGAGACTGAACTAGTTCAGAGGGCTGGCTATCTTTGTCAGTGTTGATGGTAACACCAGCTTTGATGCTTACAGCATGAAATGAGCTTTCAAAGGTCAGAATGGAAATTAACTCTGTCCTGTGACATTTGTACAGAGTTGAGCATGCTTTATTGTCATCTGGTTTTGGAGCTGTACATTTTCAACATCTTTACATTGGATGGGACACCACCTCCATACTCCTTTACCCTGACTTTATATAATACCCACTTCTTGCTCATGTGGGTAAAGTTGGGATCTTTGTCACATATCAAATCTGTAAGTTACTGATAACTAACCTCTGTATTTCTAAGTACACCCACAGGTTAGGGATTGTTCCATTGACACTCTGGCCTCCTTATCCCCATTGGAAGTAGATACCTTTGCTGGTAATTTGCTTTCCTGTCTTCTGTTGTAGACCTTTTTACCTGAAACTCACGACAGTGGTGATCTGCCCACTTGACCTTTAATTGTTGCATATGGGTACCCAGATATGGACCTTCCAGGGATGTTACAAAGAACATCTTAATGATGTTCAGCTAGAAGCAAAGGAGCTTACAGTAATAAATCCAGAGCAATTGTACTGACTTTTTTTTTTTTTTTATAAGGAAGGAACTCTTTTTGAAAGAGTGCTTCAAAAATGGGTTCACATGCCCAGTGTATGCCTCCTACTTTATTCCTCTCACAAGCACCCCCTGCTCCCATCCCCACCTCTGTGCCTTGCACAAAGAAGCAAAACCTCTCCCAGCATAATGTTCTAGCTGTCTTCTTGCAGGGCCAAAAGCCAATTAAGCCTACTTCCAGGAAATTCCCTTGGACTTCTAGTGTGGAGGAGAATGTTCTCAGCATTCATTCTAGCCCTTCTGCCAGAAATCCTGACTGTTTGGCTGCACATTGTTTAAAAAAAAACCCAAAAAACAACATACCAGCCTTTTGTAGATTTACTATCCCCTGAGAAAGGTGTGCACACAGATACGGAGGCATCACTTTCATGTCCCCTTCCACAAGAATGCAAAACATATAATGCAGGCGTGGTAAACATAACCAAATTTGTTTAGAAATAAGCATGCATGTCCAGGTGTGTCCCTGTCTAGTGAGTCTCTGGTGGATGAGGTTTCTCTGACAAAGAATGGGTCTCATCCATATAGTTGATGGTTGGAGGAGGACTAGACAGAGTTGAGCTAGAACAGTAGCTGCTTTCCTAGCACAGCTGAGTCCCCCTTGGTAAACAAGGGGTTCCTTTCTTAAGCATGTTCATCTCCTACGCTGCCTTTGGTAATACATCCAGTTAATATAGATTATTCTGTTGCTATCAGTATTAAACAAAAGCTCACAAACCAACAAACAAATAACTTGTTTAACATAAGGAAATAGATTTATTTGTAGGGTGTTCTAGGCAGAAGCACACAAAATTCTGTAGTGTGTTTCATATTTGGCTTTTGACATTCACAGCAACTAGAAGAAAGGAGTGAGGATGAAGAGGATAAAGAATGTTTGAAGCAAGCGATAACAGCCCTGCTGAGCCTTCAGAGCAGCATGGAAAGAATATGCTCCAAAAGTCTTGCAAAGCGACGACTTAGGTAAACACGTTTCCCTTTTTCCTGCTCTTATCCCTGAATGCTTTGCTATAAATCCAGGGCTCCCTGCTTCCTCTTTCAGTAAACAGTGAACAAAATAGTTTGTGACAAGCCTACTTTTTCAGAGGAAGTGACATCAAAGCCAAGATAACTTGTTATTGTTTTAAAACCTTTTGTATTTGTATGTGCCCTTGCACACTACTAATCAAGACGTCCTGAGAATCTTCTTACTGGTAAGTAGAAAGAAAGAGGAACCATATTTGTAGATTTTTTTTTTTTAATAGGTATCTTTTTAAAAGGTATCTTTGCTAACAAAAATTCCTTTAGTTGAAAATTGATACTCTCATCTCCTAGAACCATTTCAATTATCTGAACAGGTTTTTGTTTATAGACCCAGTTGAAAACCAGGCTCAGGTATCACCCCATAAATAATTGTAACATTATGTGCTTGTTAATTCACATAGGCTTGGTATAATTAAAGCAAATTATGATGATCAGTGCAGCATCAGTTTATTAGAGAGACAAGCATTGTGTCCAAAAATTCTGTTTATTATTTTAGTTTAGTGAATGTAATGTGAATATCTTCACAGGATAAAGTTTGATCAGTAATTCAGAAGTGGAGTGTTTATATTTAGACATAGAAATCTGGATATAGAAAATGAATAAAGATTTCAGCCAGTCATTGAGGAAAGTAGTATAAAATAGGTTTTAAGTTGATTACTGAAATAAGTTGCAAGCACATTGTAAACAATGTGGAGGTGCACTGATACTTCGATCCGATATCGGATTAGCACAGATATAAATAAATTGGCCCAGTGTGGCCGATAAATGCCCCATGCACATGCACAACTGCAACACAGCATATAGGCAGCGAGGAGCACAGCCCAGCAGTTTGGAGAGCTGTGTCCAGCTGGTAAGTCTGTTGTGGTGGAAGGGGAGAGGGGAGGGGGAAGGGAATGAGCATGGGGGGCAGATCAAGGCCCCTGCGGTGTCGGAGGGAGTGGGGCTGGGGCAGATGCAGATGCTACTCACCTGGGACAGGCCTGGGATGTAGCCGCGGCTTGTCTGGGGCCAGGGGCAGCTCCTGCTGCTGCGCACACCCTGGGAGGGCATGGTGGGGGGTGCCGCCAGATCTGTGTGGGGTGGCCTGGGGCCAGGGTTGTGCGGGGCTCTTCCTGGCAGGGGCTGGGCTGGGCTATGCTCAGGGCACGCAGCGGCAGCACTGGGAGGAGGGGTTTGGGGGTGGCTACGGTCTCTCTCCTCCTCCTCCCCACCCCCAGGCCGTAGCCTCCTCCCAGCACCACCACTGCCTGCCCCAAGCATAGTACAGCCCAGCCCAGCTCCTGCTGAGAAGAGCTCTGTGCAGCCCTGGCTCTATCCTGCTCTACACAGACAGGCATATGCCCTACACACAGGCACATGCCCCCTCATGCCTCCCAGGGTGCTCACAGCGGTGAAAGCTGCCTCCCAGGCAAGCTGCGGCTCTGTCCCACACTGTGCCCCACCCCCGCTGGGCAGTGCTTGGCCCAGCCCTACTTCCTCCCGCACTGCAGTGACCTGCCTCAGTCTGCACCCTCCCCCTACCATGTCCCTTCTCTTCTCTTCTCCCTGCCCTCCACCACGAGACTTACCGGCAGCTGGACACTGCTGTTCAAGCTGCCAGGTTCCATATTGGAAATCGAATCAGTATCGGCCGATATGCCTCCTTAAATATTGGCTGTTGGTGTCAGCTCCAAAAATCTCTATCGGGGCACCCCTAAAAAATGTCCTATTATATTTGCTTTTTCCAAATAAGATATTTCAATTAAAGTATCTTAGAATTTATAGTTTTTAATGCATAGGACACTTGTATCAAAATCAGTTACTTGGTAATTAGCAAATGTTTTCCTGGAGAGGTTCTTTTAGTAGAAAAATGTTGCATTAAATGATTTTTTTTTGTAAATGCAGCCTCAAGGAAAAATATATTTATCTTTACGCTTAGAAAATAATACCATATTTTAATTATTCTTATTCTAATAAGAAACTTTCTTTTTCCACTCCCAACTTGTTCACTAAAGTGAATCTGCATGCAGATTTTATAGTCAGCAAATGAAGGGGAAACAGCTCGCAATCAAGAAAATGAATGAAATACAGAAAAATATTGATGGCTGGGAGGGTAAGGACATTGGACAGTGCTGCAATGAGTTTATAATGGAAGGAACTCTCACACGTGTTGGCGCAAAACATGAGAGACACATATTTCTCTTTGATGGCTTAATGATTTGCTGTAAGTCGAATCATGGCCAGCCACGACTTCCTGGTGCTAGCAATGCGGAATATCGTCTGAAAGAGAAGTTTTTTATGCGCAAGGTACAAATCAATGATAAAGACGACACTAATGAGTACAAGCATGCCTTTGAAATCATCTTAAAAGATGAGAACAGTGTTATTTTTGCTGCTAAATCAGCTGAAGAGAAAAACAACTGGATGGCAGCACTGATATCTTTACAGTACAGAAGCACTCTGGAAAGAATGTTAGATGTAACCATGTTGCAGGAAGAGAAGGAGGAACAGATGAGATTTCCAAGTCCTGAGCTTTATAGGTTTGCAGAACCAGATTCAGAAGAGAATATTGTATTTGAAGAAAATATGCAGCCGAAATCTGGAATCCCTATCATAAAGGCAGGAACTGTTGTCAAGCTTATTGAGAGACTGACTTATCACATGTATGCAGGTGAGACACCTTTTAAGCTGTATCAGAATGTTTTAGCTGCTGATTATTTTACTCAACCCCTCACCATTTCTTTACACTGAATCTCATTAACCCATAAACTTAGAAGCAAGGTGATGTCATCCTTCTGGGTTTTCTAAAGTTCTCATCTCTCAGTGCAGGTTCATGATTCAGTAGCTTGTCAAAGAATAAAAGATGTCTCATTTTTTCTTTATTATAGGGTATCCTCCGTGTTTTGGATGTTGTTCTGTGTAATTTTGCATGAGGGTTCAGAAAGGTGGTTTTGGGGGATTCCTTTGGTTAACAGCAGTCTGTGGACACTCATTCATAGATGTTTGCTTGAATCAGGCTGTAGACAATGCTTCTTTCTGTTTGTCAGGGTTCAAGAAATGCTGAACATCTTGACTTCAAAAGTCATGATAGTGTTATGAAAAGTCAGGAATTCAGAAAGGGATTAAATTAAAGTTACAGCCTTGAACTCAATCTTTGTTCACACAGGCAGCCAGCATAACGAACACAGCAAGATCATAATATCAATCCAATAATTTCTGGTTTACAATTTGTTGCGTATGTTTTACTTAATACTTAGATTACCTAAGTATTAAGACTTACTCAGCTCCACCCTCCCTTCCCTCTTCCCCTTCCCCTCTTCCTCCCCCCAAGCTTCCTCTTTTACTTAACTTTAGAGTGAGGATGCTCAGCCTCTGGCCTGCGGAGCCATGGCATCTGGCCTGTGAGGCTCCCCACAGGTTGGGAAATTTGGTGTCCAGGTACTAGTGGCAAGTAATATTGCCATTCCTCCCCTGGTGCCAAATTCCCAAGGTCTGTATCCATGGCTGGGCCAGGCAGCCTTCTTCCACTCCTCTTCCCTTCCTCTTCCCCGCCCCGCC